TGATCATACTCATTGATATGGCGGAAATCTATTAATGGCCCTTAATTAATCCACATTTCCAATTTAGGATATCTTGCCTACGAGATTGGATCTTTAGTACGCCTCATACATGCATGTGGATGAATGTACCCTTTTTAGGTTTGGACTCGGTGTCTATGGAAGGATGGATGGTGTGTGTGTTTATGTGTTCTGTGGCAGAATCGACTGCCCCAGCTGCACGGCGCACCTCCCGGCCGTTTTTAACAGGGTGCGCAAAGTAGCTGACAAGGGGGGCATGCTGTGCAGGGTATCCAGAGTAATTGCAGGGGATTTCCTCTTCTAGGGTCTTTCAACAGGGTTTCGTCGTTTGTGTTGTAGAGTAGCTGAGCAAGAAGTGCGCCAGGATTCGGGGCCAAGTGGTTTGGAAATTCCGTATAGCTGCGTCAGTTTGGTTATCCCACATTCACATATATATGGAGGAAGCCTCCCCAGTGTAAGGCATCTCAAGACCTTGTTGTAACAGACCTTCAGATCCTCCAAGGCTCCTCAGATCAGATTATATCTTCAACTTTTCTGCTTTTGATACTGAATCAATACACATTCATCACTTTGAACAAATTATCAACATGTCTCGACACAGCTACACATACTCCACGGCTACTACCGCCAGACATATGACAGCCCACGGCACCAGCAGTGCTTTCAGCAGCTCTGCCAATCCAGATGAAGATTGGACAAAGATCTCCGATCTTGCTGAGCGCAGAAGAATTCAGAACCGTATTGCTCAAAGAAACTACCGTAAGTTATTCATGCAAGGTTTCGAATCATAAACAGCCACTGATTCCTTACCTCTAGGCAAGAAGCTCAAGAGACGTCTCGAAGACCTCGAGCGCAGAGCCGGTTCCTCTTCAGCATCTCCACCTCAGGCGCATGCGGAGCTTCATCAACAGCCAGAACGCATCAACGAGAATCAACAATACAGAAGAAGCCCAGAACATGTGCAACGACAAGTTTCCCCAAGACTTTTGCCTAGCCAGTACACACCTCCAATGCACAGCGATGACGAGATCATATTTTCTCAAAACTTCGATCGTGATGGATCTAGAACGCCACCTCTATTTACATATCATACATACCCTGCGCCAGAGGACATTTCCTACCCACCATACCCACATTCGCAGCCATACCGCGCAGTTTCCGACAGTGAACGACCAGAGGCATACCAGCATTACATGGCACCAGTACCAGTTACCTTACCTTCCATGATGCATTTCAACGATGCAATCAAGCGAGAACCTGAAGACACCATGAGCCCATACAATATGAGCTACCAAGGCTTGCCGGCGATCGATATTCATTCTCATCACGGTTATGATAATCCTCATGTAAGGCACCCTCAAGCTGGAAAGCCACTTGGGCTGGGTCCTAACAGATATATGCAGACGCCACCTTTATCACACTCTTACGAGCATTCTACCACATGCTCCGAGTCCGGATATCAATATCCTACTACTCCTCTTTCTATGCCTCCCTCGCCCCGCATGATGACGCATATATGAGAGAGGGTATCAAAATAACAATTCGGGATATTTGGTTCTTTTGCTTGGGATATGTGAAACAGAGTTCGAAGTGCTCGACACTCGCTTTAGATGGATTGGGCATTCTTGGAAACGATGGAAGATTTGAAGGGTCAATCAATGGGAGTCAGGAGCGTACGGAGTTTGATTTACTGCCGGTAGAAATGAAGGAACGATCCTAATGTAAATACCCAGTACGATTAGTGTTTTTTTCCCTTTCATTCTTTTGTATAGCAAAATTTGAAACGACTTCCCTACACAATTTCTTCCCACTATTCTCAACGCCACTGTGATGTGTATTCCAAACAATTTCCAGAAACTTTCATTGCCGTGCACCAAATGCCACGCTCAGAATAGATACACTCACAGCCACCAACATACACATATGCTTATTCGCACATTGAGATTTGATCTGCGCGGGCACCCGCCTCCATTCCAACAGTTGAGCGTGCGATTCAGTCACAAAAGATACGCCATGGAATTGGGGACCATCATAGTTCGAGTATAGCAACGGAAGGATAAGGCCAGAGCTCTTCGGTCGAAGGATCCGTAACTGACCATCTTTTTTTCCCTCGTACAACTCGGGTTATACTCCTTGAAGAACCATGGCCGAAATTGATTCTAATACTAGCATCAAATTGCCGCAGTCGTACGGTTAATGCATGCTTTGTTGTAAATCAACGGTCCTGATCCTTGAAGTGCCAGTGCCAGTGTCACTGTTGGTGTTTGTTTTGTTGGTAGCTTGTTGGAAAGTATTTAGATGTACATCTAGATATCTTAAGTCCGAGTGTAGATACCTAGGTGGACAGGAGACAGGAGACAGGCTCGACAGGACAGGGCAACAAATCTTACCCCCACAATTGCAATTGCTTGATTCAACGCACAGACAATAATACAGTGTGGAAAATCGTTAAACGCGCTTAGGTAATAAGATGATTTCCCAGAGAATCGGTATATATGACTGTGACTGTAAGATATAAATATAGATAAAAATTAATATCTGCAAATCTATTGGATAGTTTATACGGGATGAGATTTGGAATTATTACATAGATACCGGTGTCTTATCTTCAATAGCAAGTAGGTAATGACAGGTAGTAATGATAGATATCTAAACGCGTGCCTTACAGAGAAGGAGTCTGCTAGTTAGGTTTACAGAGCCGAACGGAAGTTCCCTTTTCCTAGTACTAGGTAATATCTTGAACTTCCATCTGACATCAATCGAACCATTGTTACTACCCAACCTTACCATTGGCCTTTTATTACTCCATCATAATCTAGAAAGCATACATTATCGAAAACACGATATTTCCAAAGAGTCTGAGTATTTAACGATCCAGACAGAGATAATCAGTATCAATTTTGGCAATGGATCTTTTTGGTGGTTCAAAGTAAGCATAAAATCTCCGCAGAAGCATTTTGTCACCCTTTCACTAACGTCTTATTTACCAAGACCCTGGTCGGCCCTTGACTGGACCTCAAGTGATGATAGAGTTCGAGGTGGAGCTTCACAATCTTATCTTGAATGTTCCACGCCTTCCTCTATAGCTACATTCAAGGGTACACTGGACATCAAAACTCTAGGAGGTGCAGGTTTTGCATCTCAAAGAACGACTGCAGATCACACTGTAAGTTAGTAAAGACGAGGCATGGGTTTTCTCAGTCATCCCGGTGTTTCAAGTGGACTCAAAAAAGCGCTTAGCGTACACGCCAAACAAGTTGCTTGCTTTCCATGCAGATCAAGCTTTATCGTTACATTGGTCCAATAGCACCTGGTAGTTTTACATGGCCTTCTCTGAGCTATTTTCGAAGCTCCCTCTGTAGTCTCATTTCGGCTAGAACATCAAACATGCGTGTTGAGAGACAATGGGGGGTTGTCTGTACACGATCTAGAATACTACACTCGTACATTGCTTCCAATCCCATTGCAACATTATGAAATTCTGTTCTGCATAAGGCTAGGTACAGAGTTGTATTACTAGTCAGACGCAAGTTTATGTCGTATGGCGGCCGGAAATTACACCTGTTTGTGGAGTTGGATACAGAAGCGCCTTTTGTTCTTCCCAGTAATGACGAATATACATTTTGAGCGATCCTACGAAACCCTTTAGCAGAGTTTTATCGACTGGCGATGGGCTTCACGCTAACAGCTGAATTTGTAGTGGGATCTCTCAGCGTACGATGGAATTTTACTCCATCTAGGAAAGAGTGATCGAAAAATGTACACCTTCATCCTCAAAGATGAATTACTTCCAAAAAGTCCCAATGGGAGAGAACAAAGTACGATTAGTTGGGAGTTTGATTTCAAAGGCCCTGCAGATCATTCGTCGATTTTTGTGAAGTGGGCAGATCTAAAACCCACTTATAGGGGACGCGAAAAGAAAGATGCCGTCCCTCTAGATCTGAAAAGCATTAGAAGATTTAGTATTATGATGCGAAGGTAATTCTGTCAGTCGAACCAATATCATTTTTTACTAACCTCAACAAGCTTTTTCGGCACCCAAGAAGGGGACTTCTCCCTGGATATCATCTCAATATCCGCCACAAAAGATAAAGAGGATATCGATACACCGTATCGAGATAATCCCAATGAGAAAGGTTACACAAATTTGGATTCTAGAAAGGGTGAAGAAACCCCTACAACGCGGCAGAGCTGGATGACCTGGTTCTTTGGGTGCAATGTATCATAGGAATCGACGGACCGGTACATAAATGATTGACCTCCACAGTGACTCCGGCGGCAATCTCAACGCGCCACGATATATCCACCCCCGCTTCGATCCTTGTCCACACGAGGTTCGTCTGAAACACCATGTCAATTCTGGTGATTAGCCAATGAACATTGGATACTGCCGGAAGTAAGATGCTTATCCTATCCGGTTTCTTCATGCAGCTGTGAAGAATGATCCACTATTCTTTACAGAGAAAGTCCGTTAAAGATTCCTGACCGGAAGTATAATAGAATGTTTTGTACCGCATTTACATCTGCCACAAGATACCTGCGGTTGACAGTCGATGATTGAGACATTGGCTACCTCGGACCGAATTTAATTTGAGCTAGCCATGTTTACACAAGTACGAGGAACCTCCTCATTCCTTCCGGATGTACGGTACTACCTTAAACAAGGCTCTCTCAAAAGAGGGCTTCTTTCAGCGGAATTATCCTAGAGTGTCACATGTGTCTTTTTTGATTGCCAAGATGTCAACGCTTTAATCCCTTCATCGCATTTGTTAGCTCCATATGTATGCTTCAATGAACCACGTAACTACCATGCTGCAGTGTAGTATTCGTATACACACTGAAATAAGCACTACATAAAGTTCATCCGATTGAATGTCAGGTACCCTACGTTCTTCATTCTAGAAGCAATCTAGTTGTATTACAGTATTACATCGTGTGCGGCACATTTGATTTGAGATCTTACGAATTACTTGTTCAGTCGAATGCTATTCCTTCAACCCGTCAACCTTCCAAATCCTGTTTTCCGCGATATAGTTTCGAACCTGGTCATACTTAGGAGAAACCCTGTATCCTCGTGCTCTACGCCGCAATACCACCCACACCTACAGTTGACTCCATTTTCCCAATATGTCGACGAACCATTCCTAAAATCATCCCTGACAGCTGAAGGTTCCACGTTTTTCTCTTGTCTAACATTTCTTATTGTACCCATGCAAACTATCGTACCGAGTACACTTTGTCTGCCCCATAACGATGATTACTACGATATATAGTAGCTCGTTTCGTTTCGTCTTGCGCCTTCAGCTCCTTCGCGCGATGTGTCTCAATTGAAGATAATTCTCCACAAACGGCACGCACGGGTAATGGTTATCAATCAATAGAGAAATCCCATATCTGCCAATTCAAATGTACAACATCTTGGGGCCCTGAATCTTTTGTCTCGGGATATACGGCATAGCCCCCAAGAATTTACTGTTTGGATTTTCATTATCTAGATTATATACATTATTTTACGATGATTCATTCCATACATCCTTTCTCGGTCAAAGCAGGGCTGGTGGAAAGAAAGCGAGTCACTGTGCCTTGCTAAAGACATAGTCTAGATCTCACATAAATTATTATTGTCACAATCGTCTCATTCGTTCCAATTGCAATCTCAAAATTTAACATCCATTAAATAATGTGGAGTATCGACTCATACGTTACCTTCCTCCTACTAAACGTTGTTTATTCGACCACGAGGCACAAAAAACTTCACGGTTATTTGTATCTTCACGTTTCCCTTTTAGCCTTGTTCTCCGGATGTACGGATCGTCCTTCAGAATCCAGAGTCTAGACACTTTGGCACGATACGATTACCCTAAGGGGACATTTCCCCCATTCTCATGCATACAATTGTCTCCAATTCAAAATCCTACATATTGCTCGTCTATTTTCTTCCCTGTGTTTTGTAACCCTTACTGTAGATGAAAACGTACCATAAACTAGTAATTACCTACTAGATACTCACTGGTGCTCAACCAAAATTTGATTGGACATCACAGTACCTATACGAGAGCGCCATGCACTCCTCCATCACATATCCACTCAAACCACGTTTTACTCGGCCCCCATTGCTTTACTCATCTATCTATTAGAGGTTAAATCTTGAACCAACAACAACCACCACTTTCAAAATATTCAAACCCCAATTTTGCCAGGATGCTCCAAGGTTGGAAAACTTCTAGACGTTCATTGCATAGGTACTTCTGATTACAACAGATATTACAAAGTACATTGATCAGTGTATCGCTGAGTAATAAGTCGATCAGTCTAATATGAGGTAAGACGGGTATTACCCTATCTTCGAACCAGATCGCCTTACCGCTCCAAAGGTTCAGGTACGAACGCGTACACGCGGAGCCATCCATCTGATTCCTTTCAGAACGGTACGAGTCCCATCTGCAAAATACCGCACATCCGTGCAGGTACGAGACGCAGGCTTACGGTACATACTCGATCTTCGAGCCTGAGCAGGCTGGTACCAGTTTGTTCCGGCGCTGAGAGTTGGCCATCGGCGCCAGATGGGGTTTTATGTGTTTCCTCTTGTTCTTTTGATTGGTTTGCTTCTTTTTGTTCCTTTGCGATAATTTGATACTTCGGTAAAGAATTAACTGCATGTTTGATGGTGTCGGTGAAGAAGATATGATATGTGGTGTGTTCTCTGTAGACAGATGTCACTCGTAGTACCACAAATCACCAGCACAGCTACAGCCGTAAAATACGAAAGTGAGCCGCAGCAAGAAATTCTCCTCTGCAGTCTTCCATAAAAATAGACACAATCCATTTCTCCTTGGCCGATCTTAACTTCCCTATCCCATGACTACATGTACATAACTCTCCATCCCGAGATTCCCAAACCGGAAAAACGCGCGCCGCTTATATCTCTGTGCCACCACACCAAGCCGCATACCATACAGCATACAGCATACCCCATCCAAGCCAGCACCCCACGCCCCATTTATACACCAAGCTCTACCATATATATCCTACGTAGGAGAAATACCACTCTACCCCTCCCCCCCTTAACACACCACCACCCACCACCGATTCCACACCGCCTTCACTCACTCACCCTACACATTCGCAGCGTACAGTCTTACAAATCTCCGACTCGGAAACTGGCTATGTTTTGGGAAGAACGCGAGATGATGACATACTTCGTACACACACGTTTTCTTGTACCATCTCCCGTACTCACCAAATAGAGGAGGGGATGAAACAGAAAGCATGATGGAGAGCCTCCACCACTACACCACCACTTTCACATATACGTACAGAGCAAACATACAACAGCCATTGCCAGCCCAAAAGGAGGCAGTGTAAGCCATCACTACTCTAGCTCTCATTCTCTTTACAACTTAAGTCCCCCGAGAAAATAGATTTCCCCTTGAAGCGAGGGGGAGGAGAATCTCCATACACAACGACTCGTTAAACCCCATAGCTCTATACTTCGTTCCATGCATATCCCATATTCCATCCATGTTCCATGCAGAATACATGTATAAGATTCCTTCTATACTCTATGCATTCCATAATGCAACGTCGGCACATGGCATTTTTTTAGAGTTTCTCTGGACAAAGTGTGTCCCTGAATGCGAATGCCACCCACCTTTCTTACCCATCTTTTCACCCTACTCACCTTCAACTGTATCACCTCTAAATGACAATGTTTGATCATCCTGCTCGGAATTAAAATCATGACTGCAAGCCAAAATCTGCGTCTAGCAATTTTTTAAACGAAGCCCTTTGAGTACATTGATTGCATGCACTTTCCCATCGAAGCTTGTTTATAGAAAAAAACTCTTTTCTACTAGCCCAGCAGTACCTTCGTCTGTGTACCTTTACTAAGGTCGCTTAGACCATTTTTCCATTCCCCTCGTCCCCCTTTCTCTTTCCACCCCCTCTGCTCTGCTGCTTTGCCTTAGCTTACCATACCTTGAAATTACCTCATTCATCTATACAAAGAATGTACAGCCCCTGCGTCCTTCCCCGTTATAGACCCTACCAATGACCCATTACCACATCAACAAGCCCTACACAATACTCTACCAGAGTTAGGAACCAAAGAACTAAGGTCCCCAAACGGTTCTCTGCCACTGTCTCGCATGCATACATATGCAACTCCTACATTGTACACCTTGGCATCTATCTAAAACCGCGAAACGAAATGAGATGAGATGCAATGACACAAGGGAGATCAGATGAAAATGATACAGGTGAGAAGGGGGAATACTTGTGTTAAGCGAGTGCGGCATAGTACACGACCAAGAACAGATCCAGATATCTGTTAGTAATCACCATTAAGTCTTTTCTTGGGAACAAACACATAATTCATCATGAATTGAAGCGGCACTGGCAAGAACAAGCTGGTCTGTTTTCATTCATATGCGACTTCCGTGTAGCATTTTAGTTTACTATGTTCCCATCCCCATCTGCACTCCGACGACCGGAGACAATCAGTGCATCATCTGAGTTTTGTGCGATGTTGCAAGTTCCCAGATGTCTCAGGTCCAAACAAAGACTCAGACTAAGTTCAAGCCATCAAGGTGTCAAGATCCATCTATAGTCTTTCACCAGCAGCAGCCTTAGCCTCACCATACTTCTTCAATCTGATAGATTGAACGCTGATGAAACCAGTAGTATCCGCAGGAGCGAATGAACCAATTTCGTCCATTGAACTCTCACTTGCATCGTACAACTTCTCGGTATCTGAGGAACGACCCAAAACACTGAAGGTACCCTTGTATACACGACATCTGACTTGTCCATTGACATTCTTCTGGGAAGCAATGATAGATTCCTCGATGAACTCACGCTCAGGGGAGAAGTAAAGACCGTTGTAGAGAATCTTGGAGTAGTTGAAGGTGACAAATTGATCACGAAGAGCACGGACTTCACGGTCCATAACCAAACCTTCGAGATCAACGTGAGCGGAGCGGAGACATGTAAGACCAGGAGTTTCGTAACATCCACGGGATTTGAGACCGATGAAACGGTTCTCAACGATATCGATACGTCCAACACCGTGACGACGAGCAATGGCGTTAGATTCGAGGAAGAGCTCAACTGAATCAGTGATGGTCTTGCCATTTGTGATGAGTTTCTTTGGGAGACCCTTCTCGAAAACGAGAGTGAAGTCTTCTGGCTGATCAGGAGCCTTCAATGGGTCAACAGTCAACTTCCACATATCTTCTGGAGGGGTGACATCTGGATCTTCCAAGATACCAGCTTCGTAACTGCAATGTGCCAAGTTCTCGTCCATACTCCATGGCTTTGCCTTTGTGCTACTGACTGGAATGCCTGCCTTGGCAGCATACTCGAGGAGATCGTTACGGCCTGCGAAACGCTCGTAGAATTCTGGTAGACGCCATGGGGCAATGACCTTGATGGTTGGTTGCAGAGCATAGAATGCGAGTTCGAATCGAACTTGATCGTTACCCTTTCCAGTGCAACCGTGGGATACGGCAATACATCCTTCCTTTTGGGCGACTGTGATTTGTGCACGAGCAATGACTGGACGAGCAAGAGATGTACCTGATTTCCAACCCAATTAGCCTCGAAACTCTCCTTCGGTCTTCTTATATAATATATGTATATGACTCACCCAACAAGTATACGTTCTCGTAGATAGCGTTACATTGGACGGCAGGGAAGCAAAGTTCGTCAACGAATTCTCTGGATATAATGTCAACTGAGTTCTCCCATAAAAATGAATAAGTTTGCATACCTCTTTAAATCCTCAACATAGCATGCAACAGCTCCGATCTTCATAGCCTTAGCTTTGGCAGCTTCGAAGTCCTCTGCTCTCTCATTAGTAAAGTCTTAAACTCTTAGAAATGCAGAGTATTGTACCCTCTTGACCAACATCAGCCATGAAGCAGACAACATCATATCCCTTCTCAATCAACCAAGCCAAAATACAGCTGGTATCCAAACCACCACTGTAGGCGAGACAGACCTAGAATCGACAAGCATCAGCTCAAGCTCTATACCCTGCTGTCTCATGGAGATTTGAGGTTGATTCTTACCTTATCCTTTGCCATTTTGAAGTTTTGTATATGTGAAAATTGTATGAGGAGTAATTGAGAAGGTTAAGTTTGTTTATATTCTTGGAAAGTTATGAGTAATGTCAGATGTGGATTCAATTGAGGGACGGGCCCCAACAATAGGTAGTGTATGAAATGGTGGGGTTGAACTACGCGCTCTCCTTCAATGTTTTTCTTTATCAGACCAAAATTTTCACCTCTTCAGCCACAAAGATAACCAAATGAAGTTAGTTTAAATTGACAGCCTTACCATTTTCCCCTGTCAGATGTGGCAGTTAAAAACAAGATAGCCAATTGAAATGTTCTGACCAAAATACATGACATGAAATCCTTATCAGAAGACAAGAAAAGAATTTTCGTGACTGCTGCAGTGTTGCAGGTATTGGAAGTGGAAGTGGAAACTCAAAAACACCCGATATTGACCGTTAGTGCCTCTGTGTGAGTACCTACTTGATGCACATCAAACTGATTTGAGAAATTGATACATTCTAAAGAGGTGGAGCGATTCTGATCAGCTTGAATTGACCAAAGACTCTTCTTGTGTGCAGAGGCGTGAGCATCGAAGTGATGATCTTTACGACCCTGAACCACTCAAAATGAATGTAGAGATGATACCCTTACAGACCATCCGAACAATAGGAACATGTAATTTTATCTTAACCAAACTTCTTAGTAGACTCTTTCGGGATTAGATAGTAGATCAGATAGCACATTTGACAACACCATATAATTTTGCAGTAGGCATCAAGTTGTAAAATACTCTTGATTTCTTAATCCATCAAGATGAACTACTTCATAGGGTATCGACGATGTTCAGTCGCTCTACGCCCTCAATACCACTCGCTCCTAGTTAACAAAAACACTAAAACAAACCACACTTGAGAAACTATCAACCTTGCTTTCAATAAATATGATTCGACATCGTGTTGCCACTAATGCAAGATCAGTAACCAGCCCGTCGTTTCCTCAAAGAAGCAAAGTAGGAATGACGTTAAAACATCTATTCCTCGCCCTCAATTGGGGCCTCCTCTTCGTACTCCTCCTCTCCCTCAGAGATCGAGGCGTCCTGGTATTGTTGATACTCAGAAACCAAATCGTTCATGTTGGACTCAGCCTCAGTGAACTCCATCTCGTCCATACCTTCACCAGTGTACCAATGCAAGAAAGCCTTTCTTCTGAACATAGCAGTGAATTGATCACCGACACGCTTGAAAAGTTCTTGGATGGATGTCGAGTTACCAACGAAGGTGGAGGACATCTTGAGACCACGGGGAGGAATGGAGCAAAGGGCGGTTTGGACGTTGTTGGGGATCCACTCAACGAAGTAGGATGAGTTCTTGTTTTGGACGTTGCGCATTTGGTCCTCAACCTCCTTCATGGAAACCTTACCACGGCTTATATAAAGTTAGTATCTACAAAATTTTGGCAGATTCATTATAGGGCAGACTTACAAAATGGCAGAGCAGGTCAAGTAACGACCGTTACGGAAATCGGAAGCGGCCATCATGTTCTTAGGGTCGTACATTTGTTGAGTCAACTCTGGAACAGTGACAGCACGGAAAGAGTGTGCGCCACGACTGGTCAAAGGAGCAAATCCAACCATGAAGAAATGGAGACGGGGGAATGGAACCATGTTAACAGCCAACTTTCGGAGATCTGAGTTAAGTTGACCAGGGAAACGAAGACAGGTGGTGACACCGGACATGACGGCGGAAACCAAGTGGTTAAGATCTCCGTAAGATGGGTTGCTGAGCTTCAAGGTTCTCATGCAAATATCGTAAAGAGCCTCATTATCGATACAGAAGGTCTCGTCAGAGTTTTCAACCAATTGATGGACAGAGAGAGTTGCGTTATATGGCTCGACAACGGTATCGGAAACCTTTGGCGATGGAACGACGGAGAAGGTAGCCATCATACGATCTGGGAACTCCTCACGGATCTTGGAGATCAAAAGCGTACCCATACCGGCACCAGTTCCACCACCGAGGGAGTGGGTGATTTGGAATCCTTGAAGACAGTCACATCCTTCAGCTTCACGACGAACAACATCAAGAACTTGGTCGACAAGCTCAGCACCCTCAGTGTAATGACCCTTAGCCCAGTTGTTACCAGCACCGGATTGACCGAAAACGAAGTTGTCTGGACGGAAGAGTTGACCGAAAGGACCGGCACGGACGGCGTCCATGGTACCTGGCTCCAAATCGACGAGGACGGCACGGGGAACATACTTGTTGCCAGAAGCCTTATAGGGGTTAGTGGATAGTTTTCGTAGAGTCGAAATTGTGTATATATACCTCGTTGAAGTAGACGTTCATACGCTCAAGTTGGAGATCGGATGTACCATTGTAGCTGTAAACAAGCCATGTTAGTAACGCTCAAAATACGATACAAGAGCTTCCGACATTACTTACACACCGGAACCATCAAGACCGTGCTCGCCAGAGATAGTTTGCCTGTTAAATGGTTAGTTTTAATCTGAGGTTGTCGCGAAGCAGAGCTTTCGCAGAGTCGGCATCTCGTACCAGAAGGCAGCACCAATTTGGTTACCCTGAGCAGATGGTCAGTAAAGCTCATAGGATGTATTTGGCTGAATTGACTTACACATTGGCCGGTTTGAAGATGAACCTGTAGATCGAAAGGTTACTTGGTCAGCGATATGTTACTTTTGAAAAATATATAGTGGGGTGCTTTTCAGGGGTAAAGTCGACGCGTCTTGCAAAGAGGCGTAGAAGTCGTGGATGAAGAGAAAGAAATACATACGATTTCACGCATATTGAAGGTTGGTTATGGTTCTTGTGTCGAGGTATTGAGATATAGGAGTTTGGGTATTGAGAGATTGAGAGATGGAGGTGGTAGACAGAGAAGTATTAAGAGGTTAAGGATTGCTGAGATGTCCTTGTGGATAGTGGAGTTTGTTGTTCACCGCTAGGCAGGAGTAATCGGTAAACAAATAAAACACTAGTGGGGATTAATTTACTCAACAGGTTTAGTGTGTCGGACGTTGGAAAACCGCCGATCACGTGAGAATAAACTTTCGGATGGTGAGGCAATTCGCAGCCGATACATGTAGAGGGTCTCTTTGTTGACGGTACGAATTGATATTTTACTTCCGTGTCATATTGATCATCATGGAAAACGAAATTAAAGCTTTCTTACCCAACATTGATCCGGTTCTATCGGAGTATTCAGTTGGATACCTCACCCATGCATCAAACGCATATGTCGAGGCAGACCAAAATGGTCCATCACCATTATCAGAAGCAGCGGTTGCTATCTCTGCGCTTTTACTATCAGCTTCTGGTGATCCGAGTCCAGAGAACCAGTCAAAGATCAATCAGATAGTGGAGAAATGGGTTCAAAAATTTGATGGGAGTGGGCAAAATAAGCAGCTCTCTTCCGCTGCCAAACGACTAGACCAAGCCATCCAAGTTGGGGCTCAGAGGAATATGTCGTCTACTTTGGGTGTGTCGCTTGGAGGTGTTGATTTGGAATCCGCAAATGTTAGAAAAGTGGAGTCGAGAGTTGATAAAAAGAAGTTGGAAAAAGCAGAAAGAAAGATTGCTGCCAAACAAAGCAAGAAGGAATTCAAGGCTGTCGAATATGAGGCTTCTAAACTTATCAATCAACCCGATGACGCTCAGTCCTATGAAGAGTTCTTCATGGCTGTCAATCCTTTGCAATTGGGATCGGGTCAATCTACAAAGAGCAAGGACATTAAGGTGGACAATATCGATGTTTCTATTGGTGGTTTGAGAATTTTGTCAGATACAAATTTGACCTTAGCTTATGGCCGAAGATATGGTTTGGTAGGTCAGAACGGTATCGGAAAGTCTACTCTATTGAGAGCTTTGGCAAGGAGAGAGTTGGCTGTACCTACTCACATTTCCATTCTTCACGTCGAGCAAGAAATCAGCGGAGACGATACACCTGCATTACAAGCTGTACTTGATGCCGATGTATGGAGAAAACATTTACTTGCAGAACAAGTCAAAATCTCCAAACAACTTGCAGACATGGAAGCAGAACGTTCATCAATGGCTGATACCTCTGAGCAAGCAGAGAAGCTTGACAAAGAGCGCGAAGGTCTTGATCAGACATTGGGTGATATTCAAGGCAAGCTTGCAGAGATGGAATCTGACAAAGCCGAATCTCGAGCTGCAACCATTTTGGCAGGTCTTGGTTTCTCTCCTGAACGACAGCAATTTGCTACTAAGACATTCTCTGGTGGTTGGCGTATGCGTTTGGCATTGGCTAGAGCCCTGTTCTGTGAACCTGATCTTCTACTTCTTGACGAACCGTCTAACATGTTGGACGTTCCTTCTATCACTTTCCTTGCCAATTACCTTCAAGGATATCCAAGTACTGTTTTGGTAGTTTCTCACGACAGAGCATTCCTGAACGAAGTTGCAACTGATATCATCCATCAACATTCCGAACGTCTCGATTACTACAAGGGTGCCAATTTCGAATCTTTCTATGCCACAAAGGAAGAACGCCGCAAGACAGCACAACGAGAATACGAGAACCAAATGGTCCAACGTGCTCATCTCCAAGCATTCATCGACAAGTTCCGTTACAACGCTGCCAAATCCTCCGAAGCCCAATCCAGAATCAAGAAGTTGGAAAAGATGCCGATTCTCGAAGCCCCCGAATCCGTCTACACGGTTCATTTCAAATTCCCCGAGGTGGAAAAACTTTCTCCCCCAATTGTCCAAATGACAGATGTATCCTTCGGCTATACTCCTGACAAGCCCCTCCTCCGCAATGTCGACCTGGACGTACAACTCGACTCCCGAATTGGTATCATTGGACCCAACGGAGCCGGTAAAACCACCGTTCTTAAGCTTCTCATCGGAAAGCTCTCTCCTACCGGAGGACTTATTTCTCAAAATCCTCGACTCCGTATTGGTTTCTTCGCACAACATCACGTCGATGCTCTCGATTTAACCACTAGCGCCGTCGGCTTCATGACCAAGACCTACCCCGGAAAAACCGACGAAGAATATCGTCGCCACCTCGGTGCCTTCGGTATCACCGGTATGACTGGTCTTCAGAAGATGGAACTTCTTTCCGGAGGTCAGAAATCTCGTGTCGCATTCGCCTGTCTATCTCTACAAAACCCACATATCTTGGTTCTTGACGAACCTTCCAATCACTTGGATATTGAAGCTATGGATGCGTTGAGTCAAGCATTGAATGCATTTCAAGGTGGTGTGCTGATGGTTAGTCACGATGTTACAATGTTGCAGACGGTATGCACAAGTCTTTGGGTTTGTGATAACGGAACGGTGGAGAAATTCCCTGGAGATGTGCAGGCTTACAAGAAGAGAATCACAGCACAGGCAGATGCAAGTGGTGTTGTACAGGCTCACTAGGAAATATTCAAAAATTACAATTTGTCGACTTATCATACTCCAAGTTTCAAATTGCAAGTCAAATGATGCTTTCATTTCTAGCGTTTTTTATATCTAACATCCCCACCATTCATAGCACGCCTAATACCCCTTTTTCCTATCCACTAAATTAATAAGATCCCTTCCCTTCTCTATATTCTCTAAATTCGCATCCAGAATTGCAAAACTCCTCTCCGCATACGTCGTCCCAAGCCCACTGACGTGAGGTGTAATAGCCACATTTTCCAAGGTCCATAACTCGCTATCTTGAGGTAAAGGTTCTGGGTCTGTAACATCCAATGCAGCTCCCCTCAAGCCTCCCTCACTCAATGGCTTCTTCAAATATGTAATCAGATCTTCTTGATTAATAATACCACCCCGGGCAATATTGATGATGAAAGCGTTCGTTTTAGATCCCAATATTTCGAACTCGGCTGCGGACAGGAAGTGGCGAGTTTGCGGTGTCAGGGGGACGGAAATCAGGAGAATATCGATATCCTGTTTGAGAAAATTATGCAGACTCTCCTTATCGAGTCCGGAGTACCAGGCAGACGGAAGTGTGCCATCTGGATCGCCAGTATTGGGGACGATATATTTACCCTCGTCTTTCCTAGACTCGGGAGTCGTACGTGGCGACGCAGTATAAGCTATAACATCCATTCCCATAGCTTTACAGATTCTCGCAGCTTGTCTGCCAATCGCTCCATACCCAAGAACACCCAATCTTTGTCCCACACAATCTCTCATTGAACCCAATTCTTTGTAGTCTCCCCAAACATGCTTCTTCTGCCACTCAAGCATTATCTTCTCCCTATGCGAATGGCTCAAGATCTGCATGATAACCCATTCTGATATCTGCGGTCCATGTACACCAGACGAGTTTGTAATTGGAATTTTGGTGTCTTTCCAGATGGGAGTGTTGCTCAATCTATCTGTGCCAGCGCTGAAAAGATGAATGAGTTTGAGATTCTTCGCTTTCTCGGCGGAAGGAGGGAAGGATGAGAGGGTAACGAGTATAGTTGCATGATGCCAGGTTTCTGAGAAGCGAATTGATACTGTTAGAACCCCGATACCCGGAACTTTGGGAAATGAGAGGGAAATGACAGGGCAGGTTACTCACCATCCGGCACAGCCGCAAGCTCCAATGCTTTTCCTACACCAAAGAACATCTGTTTGTATGTGATCTCCACGTTATACTTCTGTCTCAACCTATCCAAAATTTTGGCATCTTCTGGAAAAGGGAGAAGACATAAAATATGCTCTTGTTGTTGAGGAATCTCGCCCATGATTGTAGATGTAAGTAAAGACAGACGATCAGTGGCAATTGTGTACATAAGATATAGAAATAGTAGATACTAGAAGCTCGGAAAGGGCAATAGCTTTATATACGATACTAGGTATCCAGCTTACAGACAATGAGAACAGAACGAGATTATAAACGTAATAGTATTTCACACGTAATCCATCTCACACGGGGAGATATTAGTGGATATTGGTCACAATTGAGAAGCACATTTGGATTTATCATCCAAAATTGGGTGCTCACCGAAGTCGCACCCACTCGTCTCATCCTAGAGTATTTATCGAGCACTCACTCGTATCTGTCTGAGCATCCATGGATTTTGTGGTACAGTCACAACCCGCTGAGAGTAGTAATCCAGTTACCCCGCTGCACCTCTCAAGGTTTTCGGCGCTAAGATAAGATAAGAAGTTACATGAAATTTCCTGATAGGCTTCTGATGCCATGCGAGAATGACAGAAAAATGCTCAATTATCACGATATACATCTGATTCTGTGAGATTCTGCAATAGAGGAGAGGAAGTTGCTAATTCAATGCAAGGATGATGGAAGGATTGATACAGGATCACGATATTTAGTCAGTTCGGTAATCTTCGTCCAAAGTCCATGAAACAATATCAAAGATGCTGGAGTTTTACTTTATTCTGATTCTTTGAAAACTAAATCTATTAAGTGAAAATCTATTGCGAAGGTTGTTTGCGAGCCATTTCATCATGCTCTTCAATATCCTGAGCCTCCCATGGATAACAAATCCATACATCCTCAACAGTTCTTGCAGCGAGATATCTATCATCCTTCAACATATCCTCAGGAAGCGTACCCTTCTTTTCCTTGTTCTTGTTCTGTCGATGTCAACGCATTAGTAAATTCCCTTTTTGATCGCGCATATAAAAATCGATGAATCACTTACATGTAAAACAAAGATAGAGAAGACAGTCTTTTCTCCTTGACCACCTAACTTTTGTCTGGCAAGCTCAACATCCTTCTCCAACTCCTTAACGGCATACTCCAAAGTGGTTCGGGTATCATCAACTTCATCGACGATCAGAATTCTCTTTCCAACCAAATTCTCCATGTTACCCAAGCTGTTCAAATCCAGCCATTGAGTTCTCGTAACCTTTGTGCCCACTTGCTCAACCTCCCCTGGAGTATTTGAAGCCGAGGGGTGTGTAGGAGGTAGCTGTTCGTATAGCGAAAGACCAATAGCTTGAATTGGAATGTTGGGACTTCCGGGTTGTTTCAAAAACGATCGCAGAATACGCGCGGGGACATATCCACCACCACCAATAGCGATCATAAGTTGAGGTTGGAAGTCTTCGAGAATGCGTGGTGCGGCTTCTTGACAGAGTTTGTGGACCTAAGGAAGGTTGTCAGTGGTGCTTCTTTGCTCGGAGGGGTAATATGAGGTCAGGAGGGGCATCTTGAGCTTCTGTGTGCGCGCATACCTGGTTATAGGTCACATATTCTTTGACAACCATCTTTAATGTGATATGTGGGATATCTTTATGTGATAAGTAGATCTGTGTAAGTTGACGAAGAAAATATGAATCTATTCCAAGATTTTTCTTATTGAACCTAAACACCGGAGTTTACCTAAGAGACGTGAAAATAAAATTATTCAAAAGTTCATGATCCCAGTGTCCGGGGAGTCACTGGTCGTATGCGGTATACCGTACCGTACTAACTAGCTAGATAAACTAGCGGACTTCGCCTGCTGCAGAATCTTTACTTTCACTCCTGTTAGTTGACTATATTACAGATGATTGGTTGTGTTTGCTATGTAGATACATTTTCGCCGCTGGTAATAAATGTGCGACAATAAAGAATTCTAGTACATATATCATTGGATACCTAGCAATATCAGTCTCAGTCTCTCTCTCCAGCCTTTACATATGAAACAATGATATTTTGTGTGCTTTTTATAAGGTTAACCTTACCCCATTTTACAATATTTAGCCTTGCTGCGGTTATTCGTGAGCAAAACCCTCATCCGTCATTTTCGATTGATGCAACGCAGTAATATTACATATCTACTCCGTACGGTAGGCATACTTTTCTCATTCTTTGTATCCCATCTAGATGATAAAATCTTCAGGATGACCATCCACGTCGTGAATCATCATGACAACCATCCGTATATAGGTCACATATTGACTCGAATCAAATGCTAACGAGAGTTTACAAAATCTTCCTATGATTGGTATATTTTGCATTCTTTCATTCTTCATTTCAAAACTCTCCCGCCAATTATCACATCAGATACCACTTCTCAGTTTCTGGATTGGTTTAGAGGTAGATCATATTTAGGACCCATAACTTCGATTGGTGGGAGAGCTATTAAATAGTTCAGAACGATCACGCCAAACATACTCATTGCTTCTATTCACATTTCCCACACAACAGTTTGTGCGAGATCTGCAAAGTACACATCTCTGCTATATTGAACTCCTCTTGACTTATTGCATCCTTCGCAAGTATGCCGAGACCAGCCCCAAATCTTAACATTCCCCCATCTTCCACCACCGTGAGTGTCCGCATCATCGATACTACTACCCACATATCCGGTATTCCCCTCTCCGAGTTCGTTTCCCCCGCTATTTCAGGACACACTCACCTTTCCATCCCCGCGTATTCATTTCTCATTGAGCATCCCTCCTCCCGCTCTCTCCTCTTCGATCTTGGTGTCCGCAAAGACTGGGAAAATCTCGCCCCCCGCATTACCGAACGCATCAAAAATGGCGGCTGGAAAATCACTGTTCAGAAGGGTGTACGTGAGCAACTAGAGGAACATGAGGTATCGGCTGCCAGTATTGAAGCCGTAATCTGGAGCCACTGGCACTGGGATCATATTGGAGATCCTAGTACATTTGACAAATCCACCGCTCTGGTCGTTGGCCCCGGGTTCAAAAAATCCTTCACTCCGGGTTACCCTTCCGATAATTCCTCCCCTATTCTTGAGAGCGATTATGCCGATCGTGAACTCCGTGAAATAGCTTTCAATTCTGGTCTCAAGATTGGCCGCTTCGAAGCATTTGATTACTTTGGAGATGGTTCTTTCTATTTACTCAATAGTCCGGGGCATACTATCGGCCATATGTGTGCGTTAGCTAAGGTCAAAACGAATCCAAATTCGTATGTGTTTATGGGAGGTGATGCGTGTCATCACGGGGGCGAATTTCGACCTTCACCTTATCATCCTCTTCCAGAATTTCTCACACCAGCTCGTATGCCGAGTTACGGGATAACCTGTTCAGGTTCGCTCTTTGAGCCTCTTCTTCGTGATAATGACAGAGAGAAACCATTTTAAGCGATAGCAAGAAGGGATGATGGAAAACAGGTGGCGCATGATGTAGACGAGGCAGAGAGAACGATTGAAAAAGTCATGGAAGTGGACGCGTCGGATGAAGTATTAGTTGTTATGGCACACGATGAGACATTGAAAGATGTGGTATCGTTTTTCCCTCGTTATGCCAATGGCTTTAGGGAGAATGGATGGGCAGAAAAGGGAAGATGGTTATTTTTGAGAGATTTTGTAGGGGCTGTGAAGGATTGAAAACTACCTAGTATAGATCCTCGTTATATCGTCAGTAAAATTTACACACCAAAGCAATGCGAATGCCCTCTTAAAGACTAAACCGCCAGCTCAAATTTCTTTTCAAAAGATGCTCAACAAAGCAGAATTAGGCGCAGAAAATGCTTTATATTTTGCAAAATTCTGCTCAACTTCCCACACATATATTTGGTTCCAACACTCATTCAACTTACAGTACCACAAAGCTCTATCTAGATGGATGATACATGACAATTGACTATCCAGTCTGGCTTCATATTCTCATTCAAAGTCGAAGTCACATCTTACCATTCACCACTCGGTTTCCACGTCTCCCAAGCCCTCAAAAACATCCCATACATCCAAGGAAAGAAATATTATCATTTTTCTCATTTGAGATGGGAAGTTTGAATAACTTCCCCGAACCACGGTTTATTTTCTTCCCAAGAGGAAGAATATTCCATCCTTAATAACCTCATCTTTATTCTCTTGATGCACCGAGAATTAAAATCAATCGATACAGCATCTAGTAATGGGGCGGCGAGGAGAACCCCATGTTGATAATAGCATTTTTAGGGTAATCCGGTGGGATACTCTTGGCCGCTATGCTAGGGCGCCGATATACTTTACTTTCGATTTGGCGTTTCTATCGACGGAATGAGGGTGGGATTTCGGTTTGTAGAAAGGGAATAGGGGTGTATGATCTTCAGACGTGGAAACCTTGGGTTGGGGTTTAGACATCATGGTGGTGTGATGGTACTGCTCAATACTTAATTCTCCATTATATTGGAACTTGTAATTCCAACGTAGATTATGTAATGTTATATCTAGAATTTAAACAAATTTGCGCCCGTCGTTGCAAAACGCATAGCTATAATTTATCAGTACATTTTCATTGGGGTCTATGCCACAAGTAAGTATCGTGTTACATGACAATCATAGGATATTCGAGCTATTCAAATTGAAGTCTCGGAAGACTAATGACTGGATGACTTGACATGATATGCGGCTTTTGGCTTCTGAAATCTCGTGTTGGATTTGATCAGGGTGCAGTTGGTTCGCCAGCCTAGCATGATCTCAATCGTTGAGGAGAGGAGGAAAGACAATTTAACATTGCTTGAGGCTCATCCACATGACTTTCCAATATCAAGGACTGAATGCAATATTTGAAGTTTGAAGTTGCTGGAATGCTGCTTAGTTTGGGCCACTATTTTGTGCTACCACTGGCTTCACAAGGACCTAGCGTTTCAGAATCGAGTGTGGGAGCACAAACTTGGAAGTTATTTCCCGAATATGCTTGGAGCTCATGGATGTGGGGGTTAGGATTACAATTTGATATTGATGAACTACCCCGCGCCCATGAGATTGGAGTGAACGAAGAAAAGCCCCTTGTGCCCCGTCTCTCTTGTCATCCTACTTCGAAACAGGTTCAATATCCATGAGAGAAAATAATTGCAAACAATATCTTTAAAGTTTGAAATAGTTACAGTGGATGAATTACACCAGAATGTTCGCAGATCTTTGAGATGCTAGCATGATCTGCAATCATCGACATCATGCAGTTCCAAGAAGGCTTGATATAGGGGTGCTCGACGCACGTAGTGAAGAAGTTCACAGAATCGGAGACTTCTCCGAAATCCGCAGCCAGATGTTACACGCGAGAAGTGCATTTGGTAGAACGATTTATATCAAATATGATACCCCGCATTGGTGTGGTTGTATTGCTACCCAATATTAGACTCCTTTAAGTGTTGCTGAAACTTTCAATTTCATACCTTGTTCGCTAGTCCTGGAAGTATCTTTTCAAATAGCTGTATCAGATATCCATGAGTTGTGTACTTGGTTTCCACAAGCCCAAAAGCACGATAGTTATACAGAATGATCATGAGGATAATCTCATCAGGAGAGGCGGCTGAAACATCGGCAATACGCGGCACGCCAGCTCAATACCAGCATGAGATATGGAGGGCGACTTGATGGAGAAGCTGCTTCTTCTATCGTTGCTCGTTGCTCGTCGCCACTGTTATCATCTATTTCTGTACATTCCCGCAGATTGAAAGCCCAGCTACCTAACGGAGTACAACAAACTGAAGAGATGATAGGCTGAACCTCACCCTGTGATGAAAACAGAATAGATGAAGTTGCCAATACTCTTCCGATGGCTTTTAATATACCAAGTCAATCAGATATAGGGTACTGGAGCTTTCACCCTAACTCACAATAAACCCTTACTGACAATGCATCCCACTAACGAAAATGCGAGCGAGCCGCGATACTCAGAGGTTTTCACTATAAGATATTGAAAGACATTTCTTTTCTGAGGCTTGAATGCTTGGCTTTGGCTACTACTATCGCCACGATGCGGCCATGCTCATTGACAAACCTTTACTCCAGACGCTTTACGAGGAACAAGCTTCGCGACTCAGAGTCAGCGATCATGAGACAGGATCAAGTAACCACTGCTCTGCTTTTTTATCTCACCAATTCCATGAGATTGAGGTGAGATGTATTGCACGTGGGCCACACATGCATTGAAGATTCATGGTGTGATATTGTAAATGTGACAAGCTGTTTCGAAGTGGCTGGGCTTGTCAGGTTGAGAGATTTTGGAACTACTAGGTAGGTGGGATTCCGACAGGAAGGGCACAGATGAGAAATGCCACATGGCGATACCTAACCAATAGGAACAAAGTCTAGGCCCATTTCTGGATTTCTTGGAGAGTTTCTCTAATATTTCCTAGTTTCTGTACAGCCCCTTTTCACCGCTAAATAAATGTTCATTCGGTTAGTTCTGAGTGAATAAGAATGTACCGAACATTTAGCAAACATTTGAATTACTTTTACTGGTTTCTACTCGAGTAATTGCTGATAATTAACTGCTAAATTGATCATAACCTTACTTCTGGACGTCGTAGTGATAACAGATAAGTCAGGGTCTAGAAAGTCTCAAAGACTCCGCTCCTTACCTGTTCATCGCAGGCTTTGTCCACTATTTCACTATTTCTTGAGATGTAGCCAATACAATTCGTAGTAAGCCTGTACGGTAGTAACCGAACCCCAGAATCCCCCGCCATTCAAACATTCACCAATTTTGACTCACATGTAGTCGTATCGTATGGTGATATTCTCTTTTCTTATTTCACTTAACACACATTCACTCCCAAATGGCGTCAATTGTCAAATCATACTAATAATTCAATTCAATTCAATTCACCAACAAACTTAAACTTATGATATTATCTTGACCTCTCTCCCTCCAATCATAACGTTTCCAGGCCTCCCAAATGGCTCCTGCAAGCCAAGAGCTATCACACACTTGCAAACATACATATATCATTCAAGCTTATGATTATCCTAGACCCTTGAATCTTCAGATGTTAAAAAGGTATGTCCCCTCATCTCTTTGTTAAATGTACCTAATAAGATGTATCTATCTACTAATATACTTCGGTAGCTCAATAACTAAAACCTAGCTTACCTTGACGTCTAAGCATTCATACCGACTAATAATTGACGACTCCATCAATCATCTTCCTTCCAATTCCTCTGCCTTTCGAGGCTTGATCTCGTTCATCAACAATACGCCCTTGATAACGACCATATCCTCTTCAAACCGCCATCATGGCGACTCTCACTACTACCCTGACTGAGTCGATCGCGACTGTCACTTCGACGATTGCGACTACCGTCAAAGCAGCCAGTAGTGCTGCCAGCGCCACTTCTACAAATCGCGCCGCTCCGCAGGGTGGAATCCTAGAAGGAGGGAACCCTACTGTCTACAGTCCTTCAAATCCTATTGTTTTGTTCATAATTCAGGTATGCTTCTTTCTTACTGATTTGCGCATTCTCCTGCAAGCATCGATGGTGGAACATATGGTCGTTTCTGCAGAGCTTCATGCCATCATTGCAGAAAGACCTACAGAATGTTGAGTTCACAAAATAATTCCACTCGATCAACTGAACGGTCTTTTGCGCATCATAAAAGGATCTAGCTAATTTGCTTTCAATTACAGGCGGGCATCATCATTATCTTCTGTCGTCTTCTTCATTACCCTTTGTCCAAACTTCGACAACCTCGAGTCATTGCAGAAGTAATAGGCGGAATCATTTTGGGTCCTTCAGTCATGATGCGCATTCCTGGGTTTCAAGAAACTATATTCCCCGTTGCCTCGATGCCAGTTTTGAACATGGCCGCCAATCTCGGATTGATACTCTTTCTTTTCCTCGTTGGTCTAGAAGTTAATATGCGACTGTTTCTTGGTAACTGGAGAGTAGCCCTGAGCGTTGGATTGGCCGGAATGATATTGCCTTTTGGCTTGGGTTGCGCCGTTGCTTACGGTCTGTATAACGAGTTTCGAAATGATCCGGGAACTGTGCCTATCTCATTCCCAGTCTATATGCTATTCGTCGGTACAGCTCTTGCGGTACGAGATCAACCTCCATCTAATTGAATTGATTACTGACATCCGCTATAGATCACAGCTTTCCCTGTCCTCTGTAGAATCCTTACCGAGTTAAACCTCCTCGCTACACCCGTCGGAGTCACAGTTCTCGCTGCTGGAGTTGGTAATGATGTGACAGGATGGATTCTTTTAGCCCTTTGCGTTGCATTGGTCAATAACGGATCGGGGCTCGCAGCCTTATGGGTGTTGCTCGTTTGTGTTGGCTGGTGTCTTTTCTTAGTTTACGCTGTTCGTCCTGTGTTTAGGTATATCCTTCGCCGCAACGGAAGTCTTGAAAATGGCCCCTCTCAGGGAATGGTTGCTCTCACGATACTAATCGTCCTGACATCGTCTTGGTTTACTGCCATCATTGGAGTTCACGCTATCTTTGGAGGTAAGGTCCACTTGAGATGTACCTGATGTAAGCTTCGCTAACTTTAATCTTAGCTTTCCTCGCTGGACTCATATGTCCCCATGAAGGTGGTTTTGCTATTCATCTCACAGAAAAGATCGAGGATCTAGTCGCAGTGCTACTCCTTCCACTTTATTTCGCCTTGTCTGGATTAAGTACAAATCTTGGTCTACTGAACGATGGAATTACATGGGGTTATGTTATTGCAATTATTGTTGTTGCATTCTCAGGCAAAATCATTGGAGGTACGCTTGCGGCCAAGGCTTGTAGGCTTGTCTGGCGTGAAAGTCTCAGTATCGGAGTTTTGATGAGTTGTAAAGGTCTTGTTGAATTGATTGTCCTTGTAAGTTGATCATGTGTGAAATCTATTACATTGGCTATGCTGACTCCAACAGAATATTGGGTTACAAGCCAAAATTTTGTCCACAAGGACTTTCACGATATTTGTTGTGATGGCACTTGTCACAACCGTTGCCACAACGCCGTTAACAACCGCACTATACCCTCCTTGGTACCAGAAGAAACTCGAGGCCTGGAAGAAGGGGGAAATTGATTGGGAAGGTAACAGACTTCATCCTGAGGGCGATGAGTATACCCCGGACCGCTCCTTGGAAAAGTTGGAATCCACTCAAGTCCGACGACTTCTTGTCTACCTCAGACTTGATAGTCTTCCTAGCTTGTTCACTTTCATTGCACTATTGGGTGGTGATAACACGAGTACGGTTACCAAAGTCCACAGGTCGAAAGCGGAATTGGAAACAGTAGATGAGGATGGTACTCCTTCATCATTGGTTCCTAAGAAACAGCCACTTGAGGTTCATGGTGTTCGTCTGTTAGAACTTACTGATCGTACTTCTTCAGTCATGGCTGAAGTTGACGAATACACACACCGTGATCCAGTCGTTAACGCCTTCCGCACCTTTGCTCAACTAAATAACGTCGCCGTCTCAGGTGGGGTTTCCGTCGTTCCTGAGTCGGATTATGCAGAGGCTTTGACCACACAAGCAGCAGACAACTTTTCTGATCTAGTCCTCATCCCTTGGACCGAACCTAGTATTCTACCAGTCAATGAAGCCCATCATGATTCATTTTCTAGCGGCCTCCAAGATATTTTCATCCAGAAGACGCTTGAAATCGCTAATTGCAATATTGCCATTTTCATCAATCGTGGCTTTGGTGGACCAACCCTGAGGGAGCCTCGCAATCTCTCATCAAGTGCTAGTCGACTTAGTCTTCGCAGTAGTCAACGAGCAGAAAGAGTTGCTCCTATCGCAGATCGCAGTCACCATGTTTATTTTCCATTTTTCGGTGGCGCTGATGATCGTGTTGCTCTTCGTTTTGTTCTTCAACTAGCGCAAAACAGTAACATCACAGCAACCATCATTCATTTTATCACTCCTATTCATAGTCCCAAGACATTTGAAGTAAAGCATAGCTCTCGTCCAGCCACTGCTACCGGTTCTCAGCACGGTGGTAGTTCTGGTTCGGCGTTACGTATCACGGAACGTGTCGATACTGAGGATCTTTACAATGCAGCTGCATCCGACACCGCTCTTCTACACACATTACGAGACTCCTTACCTCAAGCATTGACGAATAGAGTAGTTTTTGTCGATGTTAAGACTACAACCCCATTGACCGATTGTTTACACCACGCAAAGGTTGAAATGGGACAAAGTCCTCGAAATGCAGGAGACTTGATCGTTACAGGTAGAGGTAAAAGCTCGCTTGCTATGGCGCTAATTAATGAGGAGAGCGCCAGTGGGGAGAGTGGAAAGGAAATGAGAAAGACCGTAGGAGTGGCGGCAGAGGCACTGATTAGCAGTGGAGTTAGGGGAAGTGTTTTGGTCATTCAAGCTGGAGGGCGAGGTCTGGAAAGTTGAAGAGTTCATTAAGAGAACCATATACTTTTGGATAATATTCAAGGCGGAACTCATGCTACTTCGGTCGGGTCAGGTATACAGGGGTGCTTTAGGTGCATATGGGACTTGAGTACAGGGTGGAATTTGGTGTTTTTTGGGATACGATACCTTATTATGTGATATGACAGGATATACGTGGTTGCTTTTCATTTCTTACATACTGGATATACATGTGGTGGTTTATCACATTGACGAACTAGGAAGTCGTTTTGGCGGTTTTTTGGATGATCCAAATTTGGATCAATGCATACTTCATATCTGGTCTAGTTTAGCATTGCATTGAATTTCTGAATACAATTCCTGGACCGAGAATCATTCTAGCTAATAACAAGGTCGTTGCTTGACCTCCTTACCGTCTTGTTTTGGGTGAACTCTACCACTGATTATTGTATCGAGATAGTTTTTCCTGATATCTATGGCATGAGTATTGACAAAAGAGATATAACATCTCATAATATAAACAATTGGGTAAGTAATGGGTAAGGATGTGAAGGTGACTTGCGTACTCGTGAAGATTCACAATAGATCAAGAAGTCTAGTCACAGTATTCCGATCGAAATAGATTATCAATATGTTTATTTATTATTCAAGCTGGGTCAATTTTGAATACAAAAAAGGACTATCAATATATACATACGTCCAACCTTCATTAAGCCTTTATTAAGACATAGTCCTTGTGTATTGATCATATACAATTCAACACAGGCGGCACCCGCTCGACATCTTTCCTCATGTCAAACAGACCCGCATCATATCCTCGCACCTAAACCATATCAGTTCTAACAGCACCCGCATGTTCCGTCTTTGCCGCTTCCCTATTGCGGAAAAAGACCTTGGAACTCAAATCGAAGATCGGTAATGGGCATGGTACGCCCGTCGAAGCACACGATGTGATGACGGCCAGATACCTATGAGATTCAATTAGCATTTTGTACATTACGCATCTAGGATATCTAAACTAGAAAGGAAGAGAAATGGAGATAGAAAAACGTAAACTCACCATCCCATTATTATAGTCACGAATCCAAATCCACCCGCAATCTTAAACATGTGCGTTGCATTCTCCAAGCCGGCTTCGGAGGGATTGTATCCCAATTGGTAGTAACCGCCTGCGAAAAAGCCAAAGACGAATATCAACGTGAAGAATACGATTACAAACGGGACGTTAGTTCTCAGACTGGCGCAGAGGAAGACGAAACAGACGAGTGCCATGACGACGGCGTAGTTTCCCTGGCCGGCATTGTATTCCTGGCTCAGGGCACCGGGCACGGCGACGCCGTTGACGGTTGTGGCGTAGGAGGCGGCGATGCCGTGGAGGGGATCGTTGAGGTATCCGTTGTAGACCCAGTGCACGCCGAAGATGATGAAGACAGAAAAGGGGAAGGAGTTGCCGAGGACGAATTCGCAGATGCCGGCGATGATCATGGCGATGCCGCCGAACATGTAGAAGGTTCCGCTGACGGAGACGAGGGAGGAGGTGGAGGAGCCTTGGAAGGTGAGGAGCGAGAAGACGGTGGAGGAGAAGGGGACGAGGAAGCCGAGGAGCCCGAGGAGCGTGGGGTTTCCTGGGGTGGGTTAGTGGGTTGCTTGGTTTGGGATAGGGGAAGGGAAGGGAAGGGAAGTTTGGGAGATGGAAACTTACCGAGTCGTTTGACGAGATCGCCTTTGGCGGATGAGGGTTGGAAGAATAGTCGCTCGTACTGATCGGTGTTTAATTGGAGAGTTATTTGACGGGAGAGATCGGGTCCACCGGTGACGTGTTGCACGTATGGTTTGTCGTGATGGATATCATCGTGTGAGGTATCGAGTGAAGACATGATTATATAACGTGATGTTTTCCTAAGAGTATAGGATGAGATGGAATTTGATATCAAGACGACTGACTGTCAACCGTTAAAAGCGATGAAGCACAATAGTATTAGGAGAGAAAAGAAAAATGCACGATTCCCTACTCAAGGAGAAGAAGAAATGAAAATGAAAATCCCACAAATTCAAGACCCGGCGTTCGCATTATTATATACACTTTCAAACTGAGCACGCATCCATCGACTGCAAGAGCAATGCCTAGACTCTCCACGCAAAGAACCGTGCCATGCAAGCCCCATCCCAAGGCCTGCCGTGTGCATTCCCCAGATTGCACGTCGCAGAGCTGCAATAGCGTCCCCTCCCCCGGACGGTCTTCTCCAGAGTCCAAACACCATGCATGGCTTGCAGATCTGGGGAACTTTCCCTGCAAGAGCATGGCATGCAATCCCTCCATCCAACTTCCACATCACCACCACCTATCCGGCTAGCAAATAAGCAATAGCTAGACCCATCATCCCTCAACACAAAATCCCCTCCTTCCCAACAACTCACGCGATTCCCGTTACAAGATCCCCATTTCCTACGCCACACCCCAGCACACTAGTCCAAAACCCGAACGGAAAATCCTCCACTTCCAGCTTAGTCCCTCTGCTTCCCCAACATCACCAATCCCAAAACAGACCACCTATCCCCCAAACAGGAGAGAGGGGTTCGACTCTCGACCCAGAACCTCGGAACAAATAACAAGTACCGGGGATTTATTACCTAATACCTAGGATGCATACGATGCATGCCAGAGATATGAATGATACGACGAGAGGATAGGACAGGATAGGATAGTAAGTAATTAACCTACCTTAACCTTAACACACCTACCTCATCACGCCTCGCTTAACGACACAACCCCTCTTTTCACCTTTCCTTTCGTCACGCCCAGCGCATGGAAGAGAGCGGAACCAAGAAAAAAAGTATGGGTAAGTGGAAGGAGAAGTGGCAAGTCAACCCGGCATTTGGGATTTTGGTTTTACTTTTTTTGTTTGTTCTCGCTTTTTACTCGAGTACAGTACCTATATACATTAATGTATGTTCGTTGATCGATGCGGAGTGTATAATAGTGTATGGTGATTTAGCACATTATCTAATCCCTCAATTGCTTAGTGGCACCTACCTACATATAGATTATATAATATACGAAAATCATATCGTATATAAGATTTTCCATCCATAACAAACAAACAAACAAATTATCAAAATCAAAATCAAAATCAAATCGATACCAACATCAACATCAACACAAACATCAGAATCTCTCTTACACCACCTACCTACCTACGAGCCTACCCATTATAACCACACATTCCCAAACGCAACCACAAACCACAAACCCCCAAACCCACAGCATGGAACCATTCCGTTCTCTCCTCCTCCTCTCCCAAGATCCTCAAACCATCAACCCCATCAACCCCCCATCAAACCAAACCAACCCAATCCAAACCATCCATCACCCCAACCTAACCCCCAACTCCACTTCACCTCTCAGCCACCACCTCCCCTCCACGGACAAGAGGAAGCAAGCAAAGTTCCGTTGTGTTTCGCGATTCGATTCGATACGATACGAGACGATACAATACGATCAATATGCTAAGCTATGTACAGTACCTGGTGTACTCGTACTAACTTTCGAATACATTGTCAATATATGGTATACTAAAATACCTACCTACCTACCAACATCGAGGGCGAGGCATCCTAACATCTCCCTACCTACTCTAGTCTAGCCCTTATCTATCTATCTCTATCCTCATGCTCATCCTCATCCCATTCCATCTCATACCTCTCCCCCAAATCCCAATTCTAATTCCAATCCCAATCCCAATCCCTCAAATCCCAATTCTAATTCCAATTCTAATTCCAATTCTAATTCCAATTCTAATCCCAATCAATCAAACCCCAAGCCAATCCTTCAAACCCCAATCAAACCCCAATCCCTCACCCCCCAAACCCCAATCCCCAATCCCAAAAATGAACCCCCCAGAAACTCTCGCCTTCGATCCCTTCGATCCTTCTAGCGCCCTTCACATATGCGGGGTAACCAGACCAGACCATCAATGGGACCCGTGGACTTGCTCGACTTGTTAAATTTTCCCCAGCCTCGGTATCATTTCGATCTGCGACGAGCTACTGTAGCTAGCTAGTAACTTAATAACCGATTAAGCTAATAATCCATCCCCTTAGGTGCGTAAAACGGGCTCCGTCGCTTAACATGGGCGTATCAACCAATCAGATCATCAGAATTCCTTGATTTAATCTAATTTTCAAACTTAATCTTTAATATAAAAATCAATCAATATCATTTTTATATTGAAATTTCGAATATAATAAAACATCCTAATTTTCAATCTTCAGGATTTTTTTAAATTTAAAAAAATCGAAAATGAAAGTCAAGATTCTATATTATAAATAGTGTGACTGAAAAACCATTAAAATAGCTATTCTATTCAATAAGGCTTTATCATTCAAGGTATATCGCACAGACCACCTTCGGAGCCCATTTGACGCACCTAAGGGGATAATCCCCCAAGTTTAGTACTCACTCGCTCTTTTCATGCGTTTTTGTTGATCATTTATTGAATTTCTACGATTGTGCTGAAGGGCTTCATCTTCATCTAGATCTTTGGTCGGTCCTTGGAAGTGACATACACAGACAGTACAGACGCACAAGCATATATACATACCTACACACACACACACACACACACACACACATATCTACAAGTCTCACATCAAGTCAAAAAAATTAAATTAAATATGTAAATGGATTTGAAAAGCTTTGGTATATTGATTTTTGCTTTCATCCTATCTTATTTGCTTTTTGTTCTCTCAGCCCCATGTTTTGTTACTCTCCCCTTTTGTGTATCCCATGGGGTCTCTTTACTTTCTCCGTGTACTCTCTACATGCATGGAAGATATACACATCATGGAATTTACCAAATACCTATGTCCAATCCATCTTCGCCATCATCTTGATGCCTACTATGCTATCCAGTACCCACACTCTGATCCCGATTCAATCTTCAACGCCCATCCATATCCTCTCCAATTCCTTTCCAATCTCACACTAGTAAATTTAACAAAAACCCAAACTCCCCCGCTTTTGACGCCTTTCACAATCGAATACGGACCGTAGCCATTGAGGCATTGCAATAATCCATGCAAATTCCTCGCAACAAAAAAGATAAAGTAAAGAAGCAAGAAAAAAAGAATTGACTCAAAAACAAAGCCTGCTTCGGAAAGAGCCACCCAACTCTTATCATCTCGTCTGATCTCCCAAATTGTTTCGTACACTGATATAATATGTTCATACAGGGTCACAGAATCTCTTATCTGTATCCTTAACGCCGTCAAACGTGCACTATTTTGTGTCGGTTTGATGTCTACCGCCAGAAATTAGAGGTTGATGTGAAATGGTAAGAGTATCAAGAAAAGGCCCAAGAAAGAATGAGAATTTGTTCTCATCTCCCGAGGTCCATTTGGATTACTGTCGTTGTCGTGTATGTCGTTTGAAAGAATCCGTCGATACATTCGGAAATCCGGTAAAAAAAAAAAAGTAAAAGTAGAAGAAAAACATTATGATTCTTCGGTCCGTCGTCGGAATTGATCTCTTTAATGCATTCGTGCTAAAATGACATATGCTGATTAAGTGATGAATGCAATGGTATGAAAGGCGTGTGCCATTAGAAGAAGCATTCCCTGGTTGGCAAAAAGATCCAGGAGATGCATGTGAGTAACAAGGAAAAAAGTCAATAACAGAACGTTTTATGGTAGCTTGAACCCGTCGCTATGCAGAAATAAAATTACGGCCATTATTAATTGACCCGTGTATGTACAAGAATTCGTGTCGGCGAGAATGACTCCTCAAAGTGAAACGCTCATGTTGTGTGATGAGAATGGTAATTTGTTATACAACAGTCATCATGTGCATTCTTTGGCCCAGGCTTCTTGTTGGTGAGGAATTCATTGATCCACTGAGCATAGAGTTGCTGCTATGACTTCGGGGAAGGCGTTTTGAAGCAGGTGATGACATTGGGTCAGTGAAAACGCGAGTGAATGCCGGGCTTGAATCGCGATGAGGTGTACAAACCGGACTTTGAATAGTGCCATCGGTTTCACGGATAATGTCGGCCAATTTTCGACTCAAAACAGAAGCACGATGGACCAAGTCGCGTAGACTGGTCGTGTCGAATGGCATTTTGTTTGGAGATTGCTCAACCACTTCTGACAACCAAGGATCTGAAGTAGAACGATGTTGGTGCATGGTTTCCATGACTGTACGGGCAACTTCAGCTGCAGTCTTTGCACTGGAAGAACGAACAGGAATTGCTGGAGGACGTAGACTGTCTCTGGTAGGGGGGTTATGAATGACAGCTCCAGCTCCAAAGATATCATCTTCAGGCGAGAATACTGAACGTCGTCGAACAGTGTTACCATCATATACGTACCCCGAGGGTTTCCCAAAACGATCCAAGACCTCCATCGGAACATCAGGAATAGCGACATCTTCAGCATCAGGGCCACGATCGATGAACTTATCCCCAAAGTCCTGATCAAAAGAAATAGAGGTAGGAGACTGAGGGGGCGATAGAGTAGGATCTTCTTCATCTGGCACAGCTAAAGCAATAATGCCTTCGGCTTCCTTCCACAATTGTGCTGAAGGTCCATGTATCAAGTCCTTTTCCCGAGCCAAAAGACGCAACCTCTTAAGATCTTCGACCAGCAAGCACACTTCTCGAATCTGTCCAACATGACCAACGACGTTTGCTTGGCTGGCTTGAATTGCGAGAGGAACGAACATTACACCAGTTTCAATCTTGAGATTACCATCCTCAAGTCCAGCTTCATCGTTTGACTCGAATTCAAAATCGTTATCCCAGTCCTCACTTACGCCTTTTGCGCCCAAGCCCCAGGTGCCAAACTTTGGTGTCAGTTTTGTATGGTCTCGCTGATTAATGAGATCGGGAACTAAAGGAACACTTTGACTTCTGATATGCAATGGGGTGGGGCCTTTTCGTCCGACAGTTCGCCCACCTCGCCCATTCAAGGCGAGTTGCTTAACATGTGCTGTCCTAGGTCGAGCGGAACTTC